GATGCGAGGTCTGTTGTGGCTGTAAAATGACCACTTAGCCTGAGAAAGTCAAAAATAGCTGCTAGCCATTGCTCAAAAATAGAAGTCATCTCTTCCTGGTTATCCTGGTCAAGGTGTACTTGGAGAATAATAAATGTGGACTTTGATTTTTATGGGTATTTTATTTATGGGCCGTCAGACATACAGTCCCGATCAAAAGTTTAGGCCCACTAGAAAAATGGGAACGTTGTGGGGTTGGGGTGAACTGCATAAACAGGGTCTCTCGCAGCACGCCATCACTACTGAGATGGGACACAGTAAGATAGCCATTTGGAATTTCTTAAACGATCCTGAGGATCATGGAACAAAAACGTCAAGTGGAAGACCTAAAACATTTCACCAGCACTGAGTGAAAAAATTGGGTGAAAAAATTGTTGTTTATTTGTTTAATAAATTTTGATCAACAAACTTTCCTTGTTTAATTATGCCCCATGGTGTGGTCTTTCTTTACTTGTGACTTCTTGATGTTGATAAATACAGTAAGTGAAAAAATATATATAATATACATAATAATGTTCAACACATTATGCTTCTGCTCTGAGGTCCTGCCTCCATGTACTTATGCAATTAATCACAGGACAGCTGGACAGGTGTGTTTATAAATAATATTAAATTAGGCCAATTTTCTTATCCATATTTTTGACCTGAGGGTAGAATTGATTGTGAACCAGAAAGGGAAAACGCTTATGAACTTGCAAATTAAAAACGTGATGCATTTAATGTCATCCCGTTTGGTTTTTATTTAAGAAGAGAATTTGTTCCACTTTGTGATGGCCGAGTTTCTTTTCTTGGAGATAGTTTCTTCTGCCTCAGAGAAAATCCTCTCACATGGAACAGAAGACGCTGGAGTGCAGAAAAGTGTCCATAAAGTGTAGAGATGCAGGTATACCGTCTTCCTGGGTCCCACAGACAATCAGCTAAAAAGAATTTAAAAATTAAATTGTTGCGCATTTTGTAGAATAACATTTTAAGATTATTTTAAAAATGCATATTTTTTAATATTAAATTTAAGTCAAATGGAAGCGTTTCTTAAGTTATATAAGGATATTTATATTATGAAAAGCAGATTTCTGACATTTTAAGTTTTTCACATTTTAAGATGAAAAAATAAACACACAAAACAAAAACAAACAAGAACTGAAAGCTGGCAAACCCACCCGACTGACCAAAAATCAACTCAAAATGCTCCCTGGCTGTAGTTCAGGTGGCAGAGCAGGTCAGCCACATGACTGAAGTAGCAACAGGAGAGGGAGGGGGAGAGAATGAGAGCCGAAGAAGCAGAAGAAGCAGCTGTGCAGCGTAACGACAGAATAACTCCAGCTTTGTGTCTTTTTCCATTCTAGCTGAAGTCCGGGACAAACTGTGTCCCTTCTCAGCTCAATACGAAACGCGTAATATTTTCTCTGAATACGGGACGATTCCGTCTTTTTATGGGATGGTTGGCAACTCTACTAACTAACCTTATGAATACAATAAAGTTCACTATCAGTAACATCATAGCACCCACCCAGCTGTATAGAAACTCCGTCATGCTAGCTAGTACGCAGGAGTTATTGTAACTGATTGTAAAAAGTTAGCGCAACGAAAATAAACTGCATCTAAACTTGGTTTATATCTGACCCAGACAGGCTGCAGGTCATAACGTCTTACCTGAAGTTCAGTTCACCTGACACTCAGACCGGCCTCGGGTCTCTCCTCTTGCCTCCCCTTTCCCTCCCCTTTCCCTCATCCACCTGCTGGCCTCCACCACTTGCAAATGTTACTGAATCTGTGGAAGCTACGCCATACCAAACAACTGAGTTATTTTTACACACCGGCCAGCATCTGGCCAATCCACCACCTCTCTTACTTACTTTAGGCTTGATGATACAAATACGATACTGATAGCAATACTTAATAAATGCAAGACATCAGACTACTTGTTGTATTGTCTAATTATGAAGAATTATCCTACAAGAAAAAACCTGAAACATCAATACCCACATTTTAGAATATTCAATTAACAATCATTCAAAACAAATGTGACTGATTGAAAATAATAATAAAGCTGAGAAAGATTTTCTCAAGTTCTGTCTTCCTGTTTTATGTATGAAATATTTTGAGTTGCATTTTTATTTTTAAAGCCCACAGTAACTGTTTTACTTCAAGTATGCTGTATATTTTAATGAGACCTACCCTATATAAGTCACTTTAATTGCTCTACAACCTTACTGACAGAATCAGGCCAACTGAACTGATGTGAGGTGATTTCAGAGACACATATTACTCCAAGCTAAACTCATACATATATTTTTGTAGCATGTATTTATTTCATTACTAATTTCACATCCATATTTATACTACACGTCCGCCAACAGCTCCACCTTCTCCCTCTGTACTCGATAGTGCCTGCCTGCAACAAAGCGAGCGATGTCTGTCTCGCACTAGCAGCGCCTGTCCATCATAAATTTATCATCATATTCTGTGTCATAATTTACTTTTTTGTGTTTGATAAGATTTGTGGTCTTGCCGCATATGTCACAGACTGTATCTTGGCTGTTTACACGACTCCACTTAAGA